GAGAGGGAGAGATTGAAGATGTGGGTGAGTTAGCGAATGATGGAAAGGGGGGGGGGGGTGACTGGAGGAGCTGTGAGGGGATAGGGTCCAGGGGGCAGGTGGTGAGGCGGGCTTCAGTGAAGACCTTAGAGACCTCAGGGGTAGCTGGGCTGAAGGAGCGGAGCATTGGGGAGGTGATAGTGTGCAGGGCGTTAGGCATAGTGGGGAATAGTATGGCTATGAGGTCGGATGCCACTTCATTAACCCTGCGTTCTACTGGGAAGGGTCCCAAAAATTTGGGTGCCAATTTTCTGGATGGGCATGTCAGTTTTAGGTTGGCTGTTGACAACCAAACCCGATCCCCAGGGTGTATGACCAATTCTCCCTTCCTCCTCCTGTCACAGAACTTCTTACTGTCTTCTTGGGCCTTAGCCATTGTTTCCTGTAATTCCTTGTTATTGGTAGTAAAGAATTCTAAGGTGTCCTGGGCTGCCGAGACTGAGTTCTCAGGAACCAGGTCTGGCAGGAAGGTAGGATGGAACCCATAATTGGCGAAGAATGGGGATTGGTTGGTGGCGGAATGATTCGCATTATTATATGCTAATTCTGCCATTGGTAGAAGTGTCAGCCAGTCATCCTGCAGGAATGATGTGTAGCATCTCAGATATTGCTCGAGCGTCTGATTGGTTTGTTCCGTCTGCCTGTCTGGGGGTGATATGCTGACGAGAAAGATAACTTAATCTCCAGCCCCTCACATAGTGCTTTCCAGAATCTGGATGTAAATTGCACTTCCCGGTCTGAGACAATCTCTCTTGGCACGCCGTGAAGCCTCACAATCTCTCTAATGAACACTTGGGCTGTTTCGGAGGCAGATGGTGTCTTGGCTAGTGGAAGGAAATGGGCCAATTTAGAAAGGTGTGATCTTGCGAGGGTGGCAATTCTACAATAAAATCTAAGGAGATCATACCACAGGGTCGGTCAGGTATTGGTAAAGGTCTCAATAGGCCCCAGCCCTTGTCTCTGGTAGGTTTATTCCGGTTGCAGGTGGGGCAAGATCTCACGTACGCTTCACAATCCTTGGCCATGTTTGGCCACCAAAATGTGCGTCGTGCCAGATCTATAGTCTTATGTATCCCAAAGTGCCCCGCTAGGGGATGGTCATGGCAGTAACCTAACACCAGGGACTGGACCTCCTTGGGTACCAAGATCTGTTCCCCCTTCCAAAAGAGCCCCTCCTTATTCAGTAGGGAGACTCCAGGCAGGTCAGGAACCCCGGTGGAAGCAGCCTGCAATTTAGACAACAGCTCAGATTGAAGCAGTAGGAAACTACCTGCTGGCAGGATGGTGTCTGGCTGGGGTGTCTCTCCAGGGTCCTCAAACATCCGGGAAAGAGCATCTGGCTTAGTGTTTCTTGACCCAGGCGATAAGTTATGTGGAGATTAAACCTTGCAAAAAACAGTGCCCATCTGGCCTGGCGTAAACGGAGGGGTTTAGCTGTTTTCAAGTACTCAAGGTTTTTGTGGTCAGTATAGACCAGAATGGGATGTAGGGCCCCTTCTAGCAGATATCGCCATTCCTCCAGAGCTGTCTTAATGGCCAGTAATTACCGATCCCCGATATCGTAATTCCTTTCCGAACGGGAGAGCTTCCTAGAAAAGAAAGCCACTGGGTGCATCAGCTCCTTGTCCCCTACCCTCTGTGATAACACTGCTCCTACAGCCACTTCCGATGCGTCTACCTCTAGTATGTAGGGCAATGATGCATCAGGATGGCTCCGAATGGGAGCCGTTGTAAATAGCTTTTTCAATGCCTCAAAAGCTGCCTGTGCTGCTGGGGTCCATTGGAAACATACTCCCACTTTGGTGAGCTGGGTAATGGGCGCTACAGGCCTGAAAAGTTCTTTATAAATTTTCTATAAAAATTGGCAAACCCAATAAACCTCTGGACTCCCTTCTTATCCATGGGAGCAGGCCATTCCAGGATGGCCGAGATCTTTTGAGGGTCCATAGCGATCCCCGCGGTGGAGATAATTAGACCAAGAAATGGGATGCTTTTCTGCTCAAAACAGCATTTCTCAGCTTTAGCGTAGAGTCCATGCTGACGGAGACGTTCTAGTACACTCCTAACATGTCCCCGATGTGCTTCCAAAGACGAGGAGAATATCAAGATATCGTCCAAGTAGACGATTACAAAAAAGTCAAGGAAGTCCCTGAAAATGTAATTGACAAAGTGCTGGAAGGTGGCTGGTACATTACATAACCCGAAAGGCATGATTAGACACTCAAAATGCCCGAACCGAGTGCAAAACGCAGTTTTCCACTCGTCCCCCTCACGTATCCATACCAAGTTATAGGCACCCCTGAGATCCAGTTTAGAAAAAATGGATGCTGACTTCAACCTCTGAAACAACTCTGGAACCAAAGGAAGGGGGTAATGGTTTTTGACCGTAATCTTGTTGAGGTCCCTGTAGTCAACACAAGGTCTCAGGGATCAGTCCTTTTTCTTGACAAAGAAAATCCCTGCTCCGGCCGGTGATGTGGAAGGGCGGATAAATCCCTTCCGGAGGCTCTCATCAATGTATTCTTTTAGTGCCCCTAGTTCTCGTTCAGATAGTGGAAAAATGCGGCCAAAAGGGATTTCTGAACCTGAGAGCAGATCAATGAGGCAATCATATGCCTGATGTGGGGAAAGAACCTCTGCCCCCCGTGGACTAAACACATCCAAGAATTGGTGGTAGGCTGCAGGTACAATTTGGGCTAACTCGGCATCAGGGCTTACAGCCAGTAGCGCCGGTGTATCTAATGATAACTTAGATAAACAATGTTCCTGACAGTATTGTGAGGGGAACTGGACTGACCCGGTCTTCCAGTCACCATGGGGGTCGTGAGCTCGTAGCCAGGGGAGCCCCAGAATAACTTTAAATAGGGGGGATGCGATGGCGTCCAAACGGAGGAACTCCTGGTGATGTACTGACCCTTGGCATGACTGGTACTCTTGGCAGCATCCATGAGGTTCTTTGCCCCTGGCAGGACCTCTCCTGTCTCCTTTCCCGCAGTCTGCGATCGATTTGGATCGCCCAATCTATTAAGTCTTCCAAGGAGTCTGGGACTCCTATTCTTGCCAACTCGTCCTTCAGCGGTTCCGACAGTCCCAAACCGGAATTGGTGGCGTAAGGCTGCATCGTTCCATTGTGTATCTCCACTCCAGCGCCTGAACTCAGCAGCATAATCCTCTGCAGCCCGGCGTCCCTGCTGTAGGGAATAGAGGGCTGCCTCAGCCGAGGCAGCTCAATGCGGGTCGTCGTACAGCTGTGCCATTGCCTTAAAGAAGGTGGCTACAGTGCTCAAATGTGGGTGGTGGGCCTCCATCAGGCGATGGGCCCATCCTGAGAGGTTCGCCCTGCAACAGGGATATAACAAATCCCACCTTCACTGATTCTGAAGAGAAGGTCCGGGGTTGCAGGTCAAAGTACAGCTGGCAGGAGTTCTGGAAGGCCCTGAGCTTCCCTCGGTCCCCATTGAACCGCTCAGGGGTCGGTACTCTTGGTTCTGGCAGAGGAATGGTAAATGCTGCTCCAGTGGAAGGCCCTGCTGAACCCGTGTTCCCACTGAGCCTAATGTTGTGGGTGCCGGTGCGGCCAGGCTCTGAACCTGTCCCTCTAGGTGCTTGTATCCCTCTTCCAGGGTTCTCACTGCTCGTGTGAGTGCCGCCAGATGTTGTCACATCTCTTCCCAGGGTGAAGGTCCTCCTCCAGACTCTGTCATGGTCGTATGGTTCTGTCAGGGATCCTACAGCGGTAGCCTCTAGCGTCTAACGCTCCACAGACAGGATTCCCCCAAGGCGTGGAATCTAAGTCCCTACCTGCTTGTTCACCAGGGCCCCTGATGGTGGGGATGGACTTGGAGCAGGCCGAGACCAGGTCGCAGCCCCTGGGTTCACCCAGCTGTGGTAGAAGCACCGTTGGAGGTGTATAGCAGGTGAGAGTCTGATGTGAGGAGGTCACAAGAGCAGCGTCAGGCAGGCCAGGTCAGTAAAAGTGGTGGCGGCGTGGTACAAAACCAGCAGGCAGAGGAATAAACAGGTCACAAGCCAGGTTCGTTAACAGGAGATCAGAACATGCAGGGTTAAACAGGGAGAATGGTCAGACAAGCCTGGGATCAGAACAGTAGACAGATAGCAAATCAGGGTCAGGCGGGGTGGGCAACAAGACAATCTACTAAACAGGAACTTCAGGAAACAGGTAAGACCATATGGCACTTGAGCATTGCAAGAGCCGGGTTTAAATAGCCCGCCCGACTCCTGACAGGCGCTCCTGGGTCCTAGTGCTTGCCCGGAGCCTTCATTGGTGACAGGCGCGGCTGGGTCCTAGTGCCCACCTGCCTGTACGTTTTGTCAGGATTCTACGCATTTGCAGATTCAATCGCTGCGGCGATCTTCCCATTCCCTGACACCCGCTAAGTCCCCATAAGCTTGATGTTGTCCCTAGAAAGCTGTGTGGGAGCTGTGCTAAGGTCAGACCCCACAGCCAAGGTCCCGCTGAGTCCCTGTGAGCCTGCTGTTGTCCCTAGAGAGCTGTGTGGGAGCTGTGCTGAGGTCAGACCCCACAGCCAAGGTCCCGCTGAGTCCCCGTGAGCCTGATGTCCCTAGAAAGCTGTGTGGGAGCTGTGCTGAGGTCAGGCCCCACAGCCAAGATCCCGCTGAGTCCCCGTGAGTCCGCTTACCGTGAGTGTCCCTACAAGCCGCATTTTGCAGAGTGCCATGAACTGCCCCTGATTGAGTGCCTTCCATAGTTTAATAAAGCTTTGTGTGTTCTGGCCTGCCTACGCTTCCGTCACAGGGGGGTCTACTCCATTATAATATTTGTCTTATAAAATTCTATTTCCTGGAGATTTATAAAGTGATGGAATATAAATGATTCCAATAAAGAGAAATGAGTTCCATCCATGTAGAGAATAGTTCCATTCATTCCTGGGGGGGGGGGATTCATTATCTTCTGGTAACATTCTTCTCTTCTTCTACAGATTGTCCTATACTCACCTGACAGACAGTTCCTGCCCCCACCTGGCATCTGGAATAACAAATAATCAGACACTGAGGACATTGGACCTGTCTATGAACAATCTGGAGGGTCCTCATTTCAGGGATCTGATGGCGGCTCTGACAACAAGCCGGATAGAGGAATTACAGTGAGTATAACAGGACTGACTGAGACAATCATATTCTGGGACAGTTTTATATCTAAACCACATAAAATGAAGAGATGATAGTGTAATATATAAAATTAACCTTTAAAAAACCAATCCCAAACTGGCTCATTCTTGGATCTTATCACACTGTTATCAGTCATGAAATGGTGTTTTCTTAAAGCGGAGTTCCACCCAAAAGTGGAAGCTCTGCTTATCTGCTTCCTCTCTCCCCTCCGCTGCCACATTTGGCACCTTTTGGGGGGAAAGAGTGGGTACCTGGTTTGACCGGTTCCCACTTCCAGCTCAGTTTGCTGCTGTGAATGGAGGCAGAAGTTCGGGCCCCCCTGCAGCCCTCTGGGACACTACACAGGTCCCAGAGGACTGCAGTCCATGCACAAAGCAGAGTGCGCTTTGCACAGTAGGAAACCGGCTGTGAAGTCACATGGCTTTACTGCTGGTTTCCCTTAGTCAAGATGGCTGCGCCAGCACCCAACAGCCAATTGAAGAATCAGCTTGGGGTGAGGACATTGCTGGATCCCTGGACAGGTAAGTGCCCTAATATCAAAAGTCAGCAGCTACAGTATTTGTAGCTGCTGACTTATGTTTTTTTCCTAGGGGGGTGGGGGGGGGGGGGGGGGCGAGGGCTGGAACTCCGCTTTAATAACTTCCTCAAAATATGATTGTTAGTTTAGTCCATCAGAAGTTATCCTTATTACTACACATCAACCAACTGTGTCTCTCCCCATTACTGCACATCTGTTATTTAAGGTCTGAAATCTCCTCTCTACTTCCTATGAGTACAGAGCTCTTATCAGCAGAGATAAATAGAACATCAGATAAAATCCTCCCGTCCAATCACTAGCTATGATGATTTTGGCCTCACACTGTCTGCTGATCCCATTCATGCCAGTGTTTCCAACCATCCGGTTTCCAACCATCCGGTATTTTATGGACTTTTTGTAAAAACTGGGCTCTTTTCTCCTGTCTGTAAATGTTCATCACAGAAGAGCGCCCATTAAAAGTAAGGCTGTGACTGTCCGCTTAGAACTGTACATGCGCAGTTCCGGAGCTGGCCGACGGACCATCCGAGGCTCTGAATCCAAGTGCTACTGCTACGGTGTTGGGGCACTGGGGATCGGGTCTGGTGGAGGTGATGCCTGAGCATGACATCCTGGACTCCTGGTGCATTTTTCGCCACCACTGCCAGTCACCATGAAAACACAACCTTTGCGAACAGAATGGAGCACAGCAATAGTATGTAGTTGGCTATCAGCAGAAACAGATTCTGTGGGGGGAGGGAGTGTGGCCATGGGGAAAGCACAAAAGTGGTGGTGTGCTGAGGGCTGGTTTGGGAACCTGGGGGCAGGTTGCTGGAATGTTCCAGGCTGTTGCTTAGTCTTCTTTCGAGGAGCTTGGGAGCAACAGTGTGCAGGGATCCATGGAGGCAGTTAAAGTTTGCAATGTAGAAACCCTGCTAGATGGGATTGGAGAGATTGAGCACTGCACGACTGGGATTGGGCAATACAAGGGAAAAGGTGGGGAGTGTGAGGGCGTCAGGGGATCAGACACCCGGTGTCCTTGCACTGAACAGCCTGCTCCTGGTGTTTGAGGCATCACTTGTCACATTGTCATTCTTCTATATAGATACAGGACAGGCAGGAGGAGTATCATTCACTGAAGGGACCTGGCGGGGTGTCTCCAAGAAGACCTTTGGGTAATCTAATGTATTCATTAATTAATGTTAAGACCTGATGTAAAGGGGGACTCTGATGTAAAGGGTAATGCTGCAGACCCTGATGTAAGTGGGAACTCTGATGTAAGAGGAAAATCTGTGGGCTCTCTGGTGGCCAGAGTTCCCTTTACATGATGGTCTATTGCATTCCCCTTCACATCAGAGTCCACAGAGTTTCCCTTTACATTACTGTCTGCAGAGTTCCCCCCTTACCCTGCGCACACTGATGTAAAGGTGAACTCTGTAAGGGAGAACTTTGTGTACTGTGATGCAAAGGGGAACTCTGGAGTCTGATGTAGGAGGAAATCTGTGGACTGTGATGTAAAGGGGAGCTGTTTTGGGGATCCTCCAGATCACCAAAACAGCAGATAAGGATCTTCCAAACAATGGACCTTAGTTAGGGTAGCTAAACCATTCAGGATGAGGCTTGGACTCGTAGTGGGAACATGCAAAGAAAGAGCGCTCCTCATAGTGTAAAGCCATAATCACATTTATTTAACCCCTTGCCCTCCTGAGGATTTACCCCCCTTAATGACCACGCCTCTTTTTGCTACTCGGCGCTGCATTAATTCAACTGATAATTGCGCGGTCATGCAATGCTGCACCCAAATGAAATTTGCGTCCTTTTTTTCACACAAATAGAGCTTTCTTTCGGTGGTATTTGATCACCTGTGCGCTTTTTATTTTTAACGCTATAAACAAAAAAAGACCAAAAATTTTTAAGAAAAACTATATTTTTTACTTTCAGCTATAAAAAATATATAGTAAACTCAAAGTTACATATAAATTTAGGCCAAAATGTATTCTGCTCCATGTTCATGGTAAAAAAAAATCCCAATAAGTGTATATTGATTGCTTTGTGTGACAGTTATAGCGTCTACAATCTATGGTATAGATACTGAAATTTACGCCATTTTTTTGCTATACAGCGCTATGCTAGTTTAACGGACAATTGCGCGGTCATGCAATACGGTACATAAATTAAATTTATGTCCTTTTTTTCACACAAATAGAGCTTTCTTTTGGTGGTATTTGATCGCCTGTGCATTTTTTAATTTTTTGCGCTATAAAAAAATAAACTGACAATTTTGAGAACAAAAAACAATATTTTGGACTTTTTGCTATAAAACATGTCCAGTAAAAAAATTTTAAAAAATTTCGTCATACATTTCGGCCAAAATGCATTCTGCGACATGTCTTTGGTAAAAAAAAAAACAATACGTGTAAATTATTTGGTTTATGTGAAAGTTTTATAGCGTTTACAAATGGCGGGAAAGATACTTGGATTTTTATTTTTTTTTATACTAATAATGGCGGCGATCAGCGACTTATGGCGGGACTGCGGCAGACATTCTGACACTGTGGGGGATCTGACTTGGGGTCACTGACAGTGACACCAATACAGTGATCAGTGCAAAAAAACAAAACACTGACACTGTACTAATGGCACTGGGGAGGAAGGGGTTACATTTTTTATTTACTGAAAGGGTTAACTGTGTGAGGGGAGTGTTTTACTAGGGGGTGGGGGTGTGTACTGCAGGGGGGGAGACAAGCTGATCGGGAGAAAAACTCTTCTCTCTAGCTCAGCATGTCAGGAGCTGACAGGGAACTGACAGAAAGCAGAGCTACTGCAGCCCTGCTCTCTGTCAGTGATTGCCGCTAATCGGTGGGACACAGCCGGTGACGAATGGCTGTGACCAGGCGACTGACATCGCCGTGATCGGCGGGACAGGTAGGGCAGTGGCGCGCCTCGCGCATGCCCCCTACCTGTTTTGCAAAAACACACTTTTTAAAAAGTGGTTTTACCCAGCCGTGCCGCCGTGCCGCCCTGCCGCCGTATTTCTACAGTGGCTGGGCAGTAAGTGGTTAAAGTATGGTTGCACTCACATGTAAGCAACACATCGTTAGGCATTGATTGGCAAAAAAAAGTCTAAATTTTACAGTTTTCAAAATGGCCACTGACCGTTCACGAATGCACAGTAGTGTGTGTGTGCGTGGCTCCACCCACGCACACACACTACTGCCTCCACCTTTCTGGTAAGCCTTCTGTAGTAGTGGTTGGTGACACCACAACTGTCCTTGGATTTCCTTTGTTTAAGAAAAGGTTAGAGGAACTGAATTTATTCTCTACTGAGAAGAGGAGATTAAGGGGGATATGATCTCCATGTATAATACATAAGGGGGATATGATCTCCATGTATAATACATAAGGGGGGATATGATCTCCATGTATAATACATAAGGGGGGATATGATCTCCATGTATAATACATACATAAGGGGGGGGATATGATCTCCATGTATAATACATAAGGGGGGATATGATCTCCATGTATAATACATAAGGGGGGATATGATCTCCATGTATAATACATAAGGGGGGGGATATGATCTCCATGTACATAAGGGGGATATATCACCATAATACATAAGGGGGGCCATGTATAATACATAAGGGGGATATGATCTCCATGTATAATACATAAGGGGGGATATGATCTCCATGTATAATACATAAGGGGGGGATATGATCTCCATGTATAATACATAAGGGGGGATATGATCTCCATGTATAATACATAAGGGGGGGGATATGATCTCCATGTATAATACATAAGGGGGATATGATCTCCATGTATAATACATAAGGGGGGATATGATCTCCATGTATAATACATAAGGGGGGATATGATCTCCATGTATAATACATAAGGGGGGGATATGATCTCCATGTAATATAAGGGGGGATATACATAAATAAGGGGGATATGATCTCCATGTATAATACATAAGGGGGGATATGATCTCCATGTATAATACATAAGGGGGATATCTCCATGTATAATGCATAAGGGGGATATGATCTCCATGTATAATACATAAGGGGGATATGATCTCCATGTATAATACATAAGGGGGGATATGATCTCCATGTATAATACATAAGGGGGGGATATGATCTCCATGTATAATACATAAGGGGGGGGGTATAATACATAAGGGGGATATGATCTCCATGTATAATACATAATACATAAGGGGGATATGATCACCATGTATAATACATAAGGGGGATATGATCTCCATGTATAATAATACATAAGGGGGGATATGATCTCCATGTATAATACATAAGGGGGGATATGATCTCCATGTATAATACATAAGGGGGGATATGATCTCCATGTATAATACATAAGGGGGGATATGATCTCCATGTATAATACATAAGGGGGGATATGATCTCCATGTATAATACATAAGGGGGG